AATGCAGATTTTCTGTAGCATCTCAGATGTCTACAAAAAAAAAAAAGAGAGAGTATTGAAGTTGTTCCAGCAACTCCTGCTGCAGCCCTGACACACGCTTGCCTGGTGCAAGCTGTTTTTAACACCTAGTCACAACTCACTGGAGCTCCCCCAGCCCAGAGACCCACCTACCAAGGAGCTTTGGTGCCAGAGGAGGGTTAATGCCCAGCAGCAGCTGAAGGGCACAGAGCACCAAGTGGGTGAGTCATTAGTAGAGATACTAAAAGCAGCAAACCCCATCTGCCACCCCCAGATGAGACTGCAGCACCACACATGTATCATACCATTAGCATTGTTCCTCACCTCACCTTCCATCTGACCTTTCCAATTTCCCAGGCCCATGTCACCCACCAAGCACTGGCCACAGCTAGTGTGGGAGGGATCTGCTCTGGTCCTGAGCCAGGCTATGGGCAGGATCAAAGGGGCTGCAACAAGCATCAGCAGCTGTTTCTAAATAAGATTCTGCTGGAAGCAATTAGAGTTTGTCCAGTTCATGCACTGAGGCCACCTGTCCTGCCAGAGCCCAAACAAGATGAAAGGCTACAAGTCTGTCTGTGCTACAAGCTTAAAACATTTCAGGATTAATTTTATCTTTAACAGGGCTCATGAGTTCACTTTTCTGTCAGTGTATCCTCCTTTCTATTGCTTAAAACAAAAGCACCAAGTTCCCCTCTTTACTTCAGTAACGGCACCATTCGCCCCCCTCCCAACCTCCTATATATACAGAAGATCTCAAGGTCTTCCAGAGGCTCTGCCATCACACCCCAACACAGGACAAGCCAGCAGATCACTGCTCTTTTCTTACATGAAGTGTGCACACAGGTGACCACAGCACAGAAGCCACCTTCACCCTTCCCCAAGCCTGCAGCAACCCTCACCTCTTCCAGGATGGAAGGAGGTTGGAGCCAGCTCTTGTCCAGGACGTTTTTTGGAATGTGGTCTCTGAGCTTCATCAAGTAGTTGTACTGCACAAGCCGCACAAATTCAATGTTCTCTGGGCAAAGGGGTTTCTTCCGGTTGATGAAGCCATTTATGAATCTACAGAACACACCAGAGCCAGAACTTACATATTATGTCCAGAAATCAATGGAAATGAAAGACAAGTCACAGCAGGCACAGAACAGGCTGACAGATCATCGGTGTTAACTCAGGTACACTGTCACCTGTGTTACAGCAATGGTGTAAATCTTAAGCTCTATAATACTGCAAACATTAACATTTTTTCCCCAAGTTTTGTTAGCCAAAATACAGTGCTTTGGAGTTAAAAAGGCAGATCAGCACTACTTCTGATGCAGTACTCAGGAGCTGGGTTTAAGGGAGTGGAGAGGGAGGACCATATATGAAGAGAAGGGACAGGCATGCAAAGGACTGGTTTGGAAATCCCTTGTCCCAGTATAAACTTGCACAGCAACAGAAACTGGTGCAAGGCCTAGAACTCCCAAAGAGGTGACTGATCATCCCCATCTGGCAACTGTCCTGCTAAGTACGATGACAGCTTAGAAATGGGTGTGAAGGAGATGGCTTTGACTCACTGCATGGCCTGTACTCTGGACTCATTGTCCAGAGACTATCCCCAGCCTGTGACCCACCACCCACAACCCTGCCCATGATCACCACACAGTGATAGTTACTTCCTGATTATCTGAACTGCCCACGTCCTCTTCTTGGCCTCCTTCCGTGCCAGCACTCCTCGCCAACAAGCCTCCAGCTTGATAGCTGCCAGAATTAATCAGGTCCTTGTATTAGTATGAGGTCCTGTGCCATCCTATCCTTTAAATTCACACAGCAGAAGTTATAACTGGCTCTTTGGCAGCTCTTCCCATCAGCTGATCTTTACAGTAAGAAGCTTAGAACATTTTCTTCTCTGTAATAACTGCTCCAGCACCACCTGCACTGTAGAGCTCAACATCAAGGCAGTGATGCAATGTCCACCACAGGCAGCACATCTCAGAAAGCTGGCCTTCAAGCCTGCAGCATCATTTATCAGCCTGTCCACTGTGATAAGGTTTCTTTTCCTAGCAGTTAACAAGTAATTCCTCAGCACCCCAGAACGTTCCAGAGGAACCCCAGAGCAGAGGGTGCTGCCACCACACAGAGCTGCTCACTCAGCTGATGCCTGGCTGAAGGCCAAGAGCAGCAAATGGAGTGAAGAGCTAAACAGAACTAAAGGGACCTCTGTGAATGCTCTGCCTACAGCTGTCACCTGCATCTGACCCCAACACCCACAGTCCCCCAGGGAAGCTGCAAGTGCTATCGGTAGCAACATAGATTGTGACCTTCCAATGCAACTCCTACTGGAAAGCACAGCTGTAAGGAAAGAGTCCTCAATTTCAGAGCCCATACCTGCTGCTCTCTTCTTCTTGTATTCTCTTTTCCCAAGGCATCCTTTATATTTGGCCTGTAGTCTTGAAACTGGAGATGAAAAAAAAAAGAAGGAAAAAAGAAGAGAGAAGCAGAGACATTACTCACATCTAGAGGATCAGAGCCTTCAGGAGCTGTGCACCCACTGATCAGACACCACGTGCCAAGGCACAGGAGGGTCTGCACAATCACTGAGGAACAAAGGTGCCCAAACACCAAAAGGACCAGAAGTATCCTGTGCAGGTAAAGGTGCCTTCAGGCAGCCTCACGAATTTATGCATTTCAAGTAGGTAACACAAGGATGAGACACGTGGTATCCCAAGCCCAGGGGAAAGGTGCTTAGTGCATCCAGGCATGGACCAACTCACTAGCAGGACCGAGGAGCTCTAAAGGAGATATGTATCTAGAACTCAAGCAACATAGCTAGTGATTTCTCCCCACCCTGGAAAAGGATTATTCAGTTTTCCTTGGACTCCCCAGAGCTCTGCAGATCAGGGGTCTCAGCTCTCTCCATGGTGCATCTGCTGCCCAGAAACACAGTTCACCCAGGCTCTGCTTCTCAGTCTCTACACAGATAAAGGGAACTGGAACCATACCTAACAGGTGCTTTCTGAATTCAAATGCATCTTCAGTAGCAAACAGAGTCTTTGGGAACCGAATAAATATTTTGGTTCTGAAAAAGAGACCATGAACAGCTTATTCACAGTAAGACATCATTTCAGCTGCCCTAACCAGGCCCAGAGTCCTCCAACTAGCTGTAATGCTGACGAGTTACACCTCCTCCCATAACCACCCTTCATTTGTCTGGCTGGTACATCCTGAAAGGGTGTCAAGGAAGAGCCAAACTAAAAAGATCTGTCCACACTGTGTGGTCCAGGAAGTCATAGACAGGAAAGAGGATCAAATATAGCAAGCACCATGCAGCTGAGATCACAGCCAGAGAAACGAAATTTACCTTCCTAATTTGTATTCCTCAGGCTTGTATCCAATATGCTTGATGAGCCTCTCCACACCCTCAGCTGCTGGTCCATGCCAATGCGGCCAGGTAGCTGGACAGAGGGATTTATATCTGAAAGAAGAGCAAGAGATCAACACAAGTGACTTGATGTTTGAGGAACCCCTTCCTGAAACCCTCCCTCCCCAAGTCCTACTGCTTTATTCAAGGCAGAAGATGCCATAGCAGATCAAAATGGATATAGACAAAAGCCACCTGCCTGCTGACACCTCCACATCTCAAATCACTGGGACTTGACAGTTAAACAAACCTTGCTCTGAAGCCCCCATGGGAGGGCAGGTTTGCCTGGCTAGAGGGCAGAACAGCTCTGCTTACCGTTGCAAGAAGAGTTCATACTTCCGCCGATACGCGAAGCCCGCTCGTCTCACCCGCAAGTGCTCCATCAGGCCCAGGTACTTCACCTGATGTCGGATCAGATAATCATCAAACTTCCCTGTAGTAAGAACACACATAAAAACACTGTCTGTGGAAGCTCACTCACCTGTCCATGTATTGGGATAGATAAGGAAGGGATCAAATTCACAGTTACCCAAGGTGATGAGTTTGCTGCTGGATTAACTAAGATTTTATTTATTTTTATATATATATAT